AAATAGGCACTCTCGCCTTTCCTACTCTTATTCGTTTTCCAAGCCCATATTTGTCTATTTTTCAAGGCAATACCTTAACTTTACCTTAATTCCTCAATTTCCTCAATTTCCTCATTACAAACATGTACTTGATACTTGGTACTAGCTACGTGACTTTGTTCAGTAGCTATCATTGATATATTCTGATTTGTATTTTCCTTTTGCTGTGTGATTTATGTCGTATCATAAATTTTATGAAAATTGTGTGTCATTAGTATGAATGTAAATATAATGAATGTAGATATGATATGAAGAGAATTTGTTAGATTTTCAATAGATAAACAAACAATAATTACAAACAAAACATAATTAACTAATTTATACATTATAGGAAGGAAATAAGAAAAAAGTTTTTAATATAAGTGGAATATTAATATTATACTTTTAAATTTGTTTCAGAATTTTCTAGAGGAATAGAAAATTGTATGATACTGATTAAAAAAAATGTATTTAGAATTAAGTGCATGCACAATCAAGGGTATGATTAAATAAAATAGTATTGCATGTATTGTAGAAAAATAGATATTGTAGATAAGTAGTTGGGTAAAATGGCGTAGCGCTTTTTGGGATGCTTATTTTGCTTATTTTTTTCTTTTTCTTCTTTTTTTTAATTTTTTACTATCAATCATTCTTCATTTTCACATCGATGAAAATGTAAAATGTTGGTAGAAAGTCTTTTAATTTTAATTTTATTTGCAGATTTTAGTCTTCCGCGCCGGTTTTCTTTGCAACTCCTTTTGATGCTCGTGTTGCACAACGATCAAAAGTTTGAACGTTTTGCAAACATATATCATACAAAGGAGAATTATTTGTGAATAAATAAATTTTCGTATTAAAGGAGGGTGGATGGGGGACGTCGTGGTTAGGGTGGGTCTCCAATTCGCAGCAACCTCCAAGCGGTGAGACCTGGGAAATCATATTATTTAATATACAATATATAATTATTGCTAATATCTCGCTAGTATCAATGATACAACTATATATTTTATAAGAAATAATATGAGCTAATTGGCTGCGATCGCGATTATATTTTTCATAGATAGAAATATTATAATTTAAGATGATAAATAATATTCTTGTTTCAATTTCTAAAATTATAATGAAGTATAGTAATTTAGTTTTTTCTTTTTACCTTTTGAGAGTTTTAATTTTGTCCACATATTTATGTCAGGATGTGCTAGATGGCAGAAGAAATAGATAGAAATCTAAAAAACTATGATCTTTTTGGAGATTATATATTTCGAAATATAAGACTCAAAATTTTAAAATATCGCGTAGAAAAAAAAATATTTTGTCCTTTAAAAGGATAAAATGGAATAAGAATTTAGATTTAGCTCCATCTCTTGAATATTTTGAATGAAAGTTTAACATCTACAAGATGGCGATGATTTTCATTTCTTACTCTACTTTTGGAAAGATGTGTGTAAGAGATGGCAGTAATGATCAATTCTATTTGCTCCTTGTTTATGTATGTTCCATCTAAACTATTTTATAGATGGCGTTAATTTTACAATTTTTATTCTATATCTATTCTTCTCTTCTATTTTTGCTTTTGGCGCGTAGTTTCAAGATAATCAGCGTCCATTTTTTTGTTTATCTAATATACTATAGAAAATTTTTTATGTATTTAATTTTGTATAATTATTTGTAAATAAAGAATCAAAAAAAATAATTTAATTGCTTCGGATTCTTCGGTGGAGACATTTAATTATTCCATTTTATTCAGATTTAGTAATTTGAATTTATTAATGAAGATATTAATGAAGATACAGTAAATAATATATTTCATTTTTTTAATTTTATAAAAAAACAATATATTCAACAATTTAATCAATAGTGAAATAGTTTTGAATAATAAAAATATATTCAGTAAATTATAATTCTAAAATAAATGAAGTCAATCTTGAATAATATTATTTCTTGTTATTTATTTTTCAATAATTTTCTGAACGAAACTATTATTGATATTTCGTCAGGAATAAAAAAAGCAAAAGAAATAAGGAAAGCAATCAGTAGAGTAACAGAAAAGAATTTGTCCGTTAAGGGTAGCGTTTGATATGAGAAAGGATAGTATAGGGTTGTAAAGGAGAGTGATGATTGGGCGGGGCAGAGGATGCGTGGTCCGGTCTAGCCCAGCCACATCTAGTCTGCCGCCGACTGCGTAGTTGCGCAGTATTGCCACTGAGTGTCGTGTGTGCTAGTAGAAGAGGATATAAACGGTATGCCGGTGCACGGGTCAGCCTTACTCTCTTTCTCCGGTCCTTTGTAAAACATCGTGTTTCCTCCTCGATTTAGGGTCGTTCACCCTGAACTCTAACGTGCTCGCGTTATCCTTCGAAATTCCATTGTTTTTCTGCTGTGGTTTTCTTTCATCGCATTATCATTCTAATTGAATTTCCAGCAAGTTTTCTGATACTTCCTTCTACACCGAGAAACGTAAGCGATTCCTTTTCTGTATATTGTTACCGAGATTGTTGCCACTTGCTTGCGCTCGAGGAAATTGTATATTCCGTATTTGATAGATAAGTTATTATTATAGAGAGGTTAAAAGGATGCTGCGTGTTTTGAATTCGATGCTACTTGAACTTTGTGATAGATTTTTGAATTTGTTGCTTGATTAATATGGATTATCAAGGAAAGAGGAATTGTTTAGGGTTAAATGAAAATCAATTGATTATATGAAATTGAGAATTAGATTACTAGATTACTAAAAATAAAGTAATTTTAATATTTAATGTTTAATTATTTAAATAAATGTTATTAAAGGGTATAGAAATATAAAATCGCAGATAATGAATTAAATAGATATTTTTTGTTTTTCATTTCTTGAAAGTAGTTTCTATAAATATTAGTTATTACGTTTTATTTAACATTATTATATTTAGCGTTAATATTTCTAGATTAAATTAAATAATTTTTATCGAAATATTTTTTAATTTAATTTAAAATCACATAAAAAATTTCAGAATAATTTCTTTTGGAAATAATATTTTTCTTTCAAAATTAATAATCAAAATCATGAATATTACGTGTACGAATATTACGTAATGTTATTTTACTATGCTTTCTGCTACATCAAATTATCCTTGTCTCTATTGTTCCTGGCAAGGTATAATATTTGAACTGTTTTTCTCTATAGCCTAAGATTTATTGTTTGTCATCCAATGTGTCATATAACTCATATTTTAAATAAAACATTAACACATTAAAGATTAATATAACATTTCGAAAAACTATTTGTATTTCCTTCATTCGGTTTTACAAAAGATGGTTTTACAACTGTGAATAAATGAAACTTTTGAGAGATAATAACAATATCTCGCGTAACTGGGATATTAAAACCAAATATTTAAACCAGTTTAAATATAAAGCTATTCGAATTGAGTATTCTTTCATTGACTTTGATCAATCTGAAAGAATATTGAATTTTTTTTTTACTATAATAATATTTTTTTTCGAGTATATTATCATTTTTATTAATCATCATTTTCATCAATATAATTGATATGATTTTCCAAAGATAAACATCCTTTATATATATATATTATTGCAGTATCTTATATTCCCCGTAATTTTTCTATTATATTATTAATTATCGTTAATATTTTATATATTTTGTATATATTTTATTTTCTTAAAAATAGAATTAAAAAAATATAAATACATAATTTTTTAAATTTTAATTTTAGAATTCGTTGACTTAATAATTGAATTTTCATATTTAATTTATAACATTATGTCTATTTTATCGTCAAAGCAAAAACAAATGAGTAGCATTGATAATGGTAATGAAGATGTAATTCGGATTTATTGTTGAAACGATCGCTATAGAAAAGTTCGCTGGAAGATTTAATGCAATGTGGTAGCTAATTTCTTGCACGCATGATATTCGGTTTACTTCACCGTCTATTTTTAATGGTACTCGAGCTAATCTGAAAATTTACTTTTAACAATGAAGATTTTTTTTTCATAATTTAATCAAAATAATAATTATATTCGAGTAATGATTAATAATAGAAATAGATCATCAATAATTTTTATTCGATCTTCAACAAAATTTGAATTATTTTTAATAGAAAAGAAAAGAGAAATAGAGAGAGAGTATCAGTTTTAAATTTAAGTTATTTAAAATGTTTTTAAATATATGATATGCATATAGAAATATTATGTGCATGTACATAATATATACATTATTATATTTTTTATTTTATCTTTTACATTGAAAATATTTGATAATTAAATAATATGAATATTTTTAAATTTTATATTTTATGAGATCGCTGTTACTACAGTAATTAATGATTTTACAATGTAATAAGAAAGTACAGACTTATTTTCTCGATTTAATTAATATGTTTTTATAGTTTATAGTAGTCTTCGTAACGAATGTAATCTTGTAAAAATGGATAATAACGACCATTAATAATTACGACCATAATTAACAATTTGCGTAACTTCTAGAAATTTTGTAGAAGAATATTCCGAAGAGTAAATTTTGAAACTCATATTTTCTTTTATTATGATATTATCAATTATGTTATTCTTTATTCTTAGAAAAATTATTTCTTAAATTTTTAAAAAAATTTGTTTTTCTCTGTAATAATTCTAAGTTCGACAATTATTTTAATTATCATTATAATTTTTATTTGTCGATATTATTTTTAAATTGTCGATATTATTGTATTATTATATTACTAAACATAAATTAATTTAAAATTTACATATAATTGTATTTAATTTTTATACAATATATATATATATAATTTTTATGAATTACATAATGCATAAAAAAATTGATTTATTTATGTCTTATGATTTGTTGTTCTACATTAGTTATGAAGACTATTATTGTAAAAGTGATACATTAATTAAATTGAGAAAATAACATTATTATAAATTACAAAAATGATTTATAAAAATTAAAAAATTTGAAACAAAATATCTTAAATAACGTGGGAAAAATATTTTTCATTGCACTCTTTTTCTCTGTATATTATATAAATATTATAATTATTATAATAATATTATATATTAATATAATAATAATAATATTATATTATCAATATTATAATATTATAATATCAAATAATTTTTAAATTCAATCATTATTATATACATTATATACATCGTTAAAATTAAAAAATTTTTTTTTTTATAAAGAATTCACAGATTAACCAAGACACCCTCCAAAACCACCTTTACCGAAAAAATCGATAAAAGGGAGTTGAGATGGAGAGTGTGCTGGTAAATGTGGGTGGATTTAAACGAAGAGTATCGAAATTTATTCCGGAAATACGCGCATGCACTGCTTTTGCCAACTTTCCAACGAAATGCCGAATAACTATACTATGTAGGTATATTATGTAGATACATATATATATCTATATCGAATGGTACATAGATACTACGCGGTAACAAGGCTATGTATTCTCTTTTACTTACATATGTATTGCATAATGGCCATATATATCACCTATGCGCCTATGAAAAATAAAAATTCGCTTTATTTATCGATCCTTGTGCCCGTAGTATACGCATACAATCACGATTCATTCGAGCATTTCAACCGTTTTCCTTGTATTCGTGGAAAACGATAAAACATTTATTACCTTTGTTACATAGCAACTTTTTGCATAGAAAAATATATAGTGCAAAAATATTTTAATATCTTTCTTTTTCTAGTTTCCTTTTTTTTTTCAATTTAGAAATTACTTGAAGATATTTTTCAATAGAAATTCAACTTGAAAAAATCTTTGTCTTTAATTTAAAAATAAATGATTTTCTTTGCGATGAATTGTGAATGAATTTTTATGTTTTTAATAATTTTAATAATTTTTTAGTCATTTTAATATTCTTAATTTAGGATATTGATTTTGTTTTTTTTTTTTGTAATATTTTTTATTCAAGATTTTTTAAAGATAATTTAAAAATATATATATATACGTATATGTAATAGGATAGCTATTTGTGCATATTAAAATTTTTTTGTTTATATTTCGAAATAGGCAATTAAAGAATGAATCATTAAGATATTTAAAAAGTAAAATCGTAATAACAAAAAGTTGAATAATTAATTTTCTTTCTTCGAAAAAAATGTTTTTAAACGGAAATTTATTAGTAATTAAAATTGAGTAATTCAATATTTAATTGTAACTATTTTACATATTATTAGTAATATAAATTAATAATAATTTATAACAATATTACATTCAATAATTTTTTAAAGTTTTATTACAATGTAAACTTTGGTTAAAAATACATGACTTTAAGTGATTCATTTCTTCAAGAATTATTCATCGATCACGTCTGTGTATCGGAGAAAGCTAACAAAGTATACATATCCGAAAGAAGAGAACAGATTGTTTTATCAAGAAATATAATCATAAAATTTCAAATTGGCGATTATGTGAAAAAGTCTTAAAAATAGATTGAAATTTGTTTGTAGTTGAAAACAAAATGCTGAAAGATATTTTTTAAAATGAAAATTAAATTTTTAAAATTTAATAAAGGTAAAAACTGACTTGAATAAGCGATATAGAGAAAAAAAAGAAAATTTATATAATCGATTTTTTCTGATGATTTAAAACAAAATAATCTAATATTATAGTATGTGTGAAAATAAAAAAAATTTTATCTTAAAATCTATCATCATAATACTATAATTTATGAAGAAAATGATACTATATAAAAAGAAATGTAACTCAAAAACAAAAATAAAATAAAATTCTATTTTTTTTTCCATTTTTTCCATACATATATATATAAAATATTATATTTAAAAGTTAAAACATTATTATTTACATGAATCATATTGTTAGATTATAATAGAAATATTTAGATTATAGCAATATTTCTATTTCTGTTTCTTAAATTTCTTGATTAGATAATAATTAATATATATTATGAGAAAAAAGGTAAAAATGTACAATATATAAGATATTAATATTATTATTTATTTATTAATTTTATTTTTAGTTACTTTTAATGATATGAATTTATATCATATATTGAATAATCTAATAAATAATAAAATATTAAAAAAAAAATTTTATTATCGATTATTGCATTATTGCATCAGAAAAAAATTTGGAATAAAGTGTAAAATAAAATAAGATTCAATAGTTGGCTACCTGTTACAGTAAAATTAATTTGGGCCACTATTGAAAAAAAATCTGTTCAAGTTCAGCAGAGTGTGAATTGAAATGAAACGATTCGAAAATGTCATTAGAGAAACCTTTTGAACAATCATCGATTCTTGAAAGAAAGCAACGATGCTTGACGAGCATTCACGGGTTTATTATCTTTTTTTCTTCTCTTCTTTATAAAATACATTGTGACATTGTATTTGATTCAATAGGCATCAACTGAATGACCTAAATCTTGTTAACCATGCATAATTTCTTTTTTTTTCTTATTCCCTTTTGGAAAATGATTACTGAAAACTTTTGTTGTAATTGATAAAGACACATACAATAATCTAGATTATGAGTATATTTTAAGATAGAAAATAAAAAAGGTAAAAGTAATGAATAGTACAGGATGTTTTAAAATTATGAGAGTATTGTCATTATTTTCTAATCTTGAAATAATAGGTAAAGAATTCGCAATAAAAAATTATAGATAAAAACATTCTTAAATATAACAAGTAATTTATAAATTAAAAATAACTTTAATAATAACATTGAAATAAAATAAAATATCACGAAGATAATAATATTTTTATACAATCAAAATAGAAGAAAACAGAATGTTTATATTTTCTAAAGAAATATTTTTAAAGATGCTCAAATTAATCAGTAAGTTATCTTATTTAGCATCCTTAAAAGAATAGACACGTTTTCTAAAACAAAATATAAATCTATTAAAAAATATCGAATTGATAAATTAATTATTTTATTCCTTTAAAAAATTATTTCATTATAAATACGTTCACTCACGCTTTAAGTAGAATAAGACGATATTAAGTCAGACTGTGCCATTCGCAATACTTGGCTTCGTTTGATTCATTAGAGAGTTGACATGTTTCGATTAAATTTTTTATCTATTTACAGATTCGTTATTCTATGCGTAAAAATTTAATTTGATATATTCCAATTGTTTCTCCTTTTTTTTTCTTTTTTTTAAATTTTTGTTTTGATATTTTTTGCCATTTTAACGCGTGTAACTGATTTTAAATCTAGTAATTTTGTAATTGCTATCACGAATCCGATACTTGTACGAATACATATTCGCCTATCGTTAGAAACATCGTTCGATATATGCAAAATATATATCAATCAGTGCATATTTATGTATATATGTATAACATATTATGTGATTTTAAATTATTCCAATTATTTGTCGGTTAAATCGTATCGAGTTTTGAAAATATTTAAAATAATATTTCATCTTGACGTATCAATAAGAAAGATCCATGATATATTTTTAAATATATTTTTAAAAATATATTATTAAAATATATTTTTTGTTTTTTTTTTAAATTTTATATAATTTTTGATATTAAAATATTAAAGGTATACGTTTGAGATAAGAAAAATATTAAAAATATATTTGAGATAAGAAAAGTATTTTATTGTTTGAAACATACTTTGTTAAATATGAGAAATTTAAGATTGATGGACACGCAACGATCAAAATAAACTTATTAAACTTCATGCTCCTGATAGAAGTTTCAATTGTTTCTCGATTTAATAACAAAATTTTAAACAAAGAACTTTTAAATTTAGAACAAAAAATAAATATTGATCAATTTAAAATTGTTTTAATTATTAAATTCATTCTCTTGAAAAATAATTTCAATTAATCTGCTAATAAATTTTGTTTTTTACTAGTATTGGTCAATTACTCTCTCTCTATCTCTCTCTCTCTCTCTCCTTCTCTCTCTGTGTCTCTCTCTCTATTCTTCTATCAACGGAAATTGAGAGATGAAGTAAGAAGATATTTAACGAATAAGAATGGATAAAATGGTGTGACCTTAAACGAATCAAGACGACAATATCTAACAAGTTGAGAAAAGAAGAAATTTCGTTGACAGAAAGCATAGGATTAAGTACAAATGGCTACGCCACCAGACTCACCGGGACCGGAAGAGGCTCTTTTCGACTTCGAGAGTACAAGAACCAGACAACAGACTACAAGGCCGGTTGCCCTTGAAGAGTTGCTTCGACAAACCAAGTTCTCTAGGCAAGAAATACGCGTGATGTATCGTGGCTTTAAACAGGTACATTGAATCCGAAAATATAGCTAGTGATACAGAGTTGTGATTCCTGGAACAACAAATAAGGATGTGAGTCATACTTGGCTGGTCTGACCACTTCTCAATTACTCTCGTGTAGATTACGAGTTGAAATTTCATCTTTAAACAATGAGAAATAATTTAAATTCACGGGCTTGCATTCTTGTAAAAAATTTCTAAATTTGATTTATTTAAAAACGAAATCTAAAAAAAAAATGGAAAAAGAAGTATTTTTAAACGTGAAATCATCCATTTGCTGTTTTTTTAACTTATTTTTATTCCAATATTATATTTTACATAATTTTATATAAATTAATTCTACTAACGATTTTAAATATCGAAATTAAGAAAATTAATTCATTATATTTGTCTCATTTTAAATCAGGTTTTTTCAAGAATCATAACTATTCTTTATGCTCTTCAAAGTTAATTTGCTTTCATAGCGATTTAGGATCAATTTTCAGCACGATAGTATGCCAGTATGAATTTTCTTATGAATTCGATAATAGTAAAATTTTACATAATAATAATTTTTGAAATGTTAAATAGAGGTATTTAGTCTTGTATCGATTTTTTCGTAAAGTTAGATGCAATTGTAACATACGTTATATTTTTTTAACTAGACGATTGTGTCGCTGGCTTACCATCAATTTCCTTTTATAATTTTATTTGTCATGAATATTCAAGATATTTTTGGTCATTTTTCAAGAAACATTCAGATTATTATTCGTTCTTTTATTTTATTTAATAAAATAAGAAAATTTTAGTCAGAAGAAATAGTACTTAAGTATTTAATTTTTGTTTCAAATCTTCGAAGTTGCTCGTCCACATGTCTTCTATTGAGAATGTAACTTTTCAAACAAATGAGTTTGGAACTGTAACAAAACCACCTGTACATTTCGCAGTAATTTGTCGAGTTTAGAACTTTCTATTCTTCAACCAGAATTTATCCACATTACACGATATCTATCTCATTTAAATAAACCAAGAATAAATTCAACATATTAATCTTTCTGAAAGATTTTCATTCGTATAAAAATATTCTTTTCTGTATTATAAATTTTTTATATGTAGTATTCTTAAAATACATTTAGTATAAATTATTAAAATTGATGTAAATAACATTTTTATTAATTTTCTATTGTATTTTCTAACGTTCTTGTTATCTTCATTGCCATCTTTCTTTCTTTCTTCCGAAAGTTTTAAAAATATTTATTTATGCTCATCGATATTTATTACCAAAGAAATTAAAAAAAAGAAAAGTGAACATTCTTTGGTAATTATATATACATATATATATATATATATATAATAATTTAATATAATAATTAATAATAATTTTATTGAAATCTCTATTATTCTTTACTTTTCGAGATTGTCAATTTTAATGCACGAATAGTGATCCTCTAGTGAATTTAATTATCGATGGATATAATTCATTCATCAACAACTCTGATTTTTGATAGCTATCGATAAATCACATGATAGATAGCTGACATAAAGTAGACAATGGTAGGATAATTTGTCGCTTGATGAATATTATATTATTCGATATATTTTAACATGTATACACGTAATTTAGTTAGTAATATTAATGCAATTTTCAACAAACAATAAAAACTTTCTTTCTATAATACAATGTGCCAGCACATCTTAATTGAAACATTTCGAATGATCGATACATTGATCATATCATCAGTTGTTTTATAGATGTGACGAATGAAAAATAGATAGTTACAAAATGTTTTTGCGACTAGTCTATCGATGTTCAAAATTGTGAATTGTGTGTAGCCTTTTTTTCTTTAGTTTCATTGCAAAATATATGATTTTTAACTTTTCCAACTAAATATCGTGTGTACTACTATCGATCTGAACTTTATGCTCTTACCTATCTAAAACTGTGTCACGACGATTACTATTTCACGAGACGCTGTAAAGTTTTGAAATTCTACTGAAAGTTTTCGAACAGATATATGACTCGACTTTCAATCATTTCACTGAAAGATTATATTTATATATATATATATATATATATGGAAGTCGTAAATGATTAACAAAACGTAGTTTGGAAGATTTGAATTATTAACAAGAAAGAAAGAGCATTTTGATATAAAATTACGAATCGAATATTAAAAGAAATTATATTTATAATATAAAGATAGAAGAATTAAATGATTTTATTAGTTATAACATCTAATTTTTCATTTATGTATTCTGTCACATACTTTTTTTAATTTAATTATAAAATAATTTTCTATATTATTTTCAGAGATATTTTTCTTGTATGATGCATAAATATTTATACCCATTTATATGTTCTCTTTCTTTGTTACTTATTTCATAAAGATGTCTCTATTATATTTTTTATTATTCTTGAAAGGAATTTAATATTTTTAAAAAGAAATTCTCCATGTTTCTTTTTTATTCTCATAATATTAATGAGAATATTTAAAAATATTTAAAAAAAATATGCTCTTAATTAAAAAAAATAAATTAATCTAAAAATAAAGAAATTAAATTGCCTCCTAGGAAAAGACTATATCGGTTCTTTGAAAAGATCGAAAGGTTGAATATCGTACTTCTGTCGCAGCCACTTGTAGACAAGCATTTACACGCGACGCGAAACTAAAAGCTCTGAGCTTCAGAACGTTTTATGTGTATGGCGAAAAAAGCTTGGATTTTTCGAGAGTTCCTTAGATGTTTTAATTGCGCTATTTCGTCACTATACGTTTGCCACTCGAGCCGTTAAGACTGGCAATTGTGTCAAGAGCATGCGTTTGCACGATAATGAAAATGTCCGTACAAAGTATCGCAAGAATGTGCACAATATTTTTTGGAAATAGGTCAATGAACAAAAAAATATCTAAAAATTTGAAATTGCGTATCATTTTAAATCTATATTTATAAAGTTATTAATTTTGTGAGTGAAAATTTTCATTATAAAAATTATAATATGAATATTGAGTCATATTTACATAATCATATACATAAGTACAGACACATATATATATATATATATATATATATATATATATTTTTATTTTATAAAATTTTTATTTCAGTTATCAAAAAATAATAAAAGTTTTATGTTGACGCTAAATTAAAAATTCATATTTTATCTTCACGGACAAATCTAATCAAAAGGTATTTTCTATAACATTAATATATAATTGATTAGTGCAAATTCGATATTTTCTATTCCATAGTTTCTTTGTCAAAGAAACAGTTATCGAAGAAACACGACATCTTCAATGTTTCCCTTGTTCTTTCACTCGATCTTGAGTCTGGAAAGAAGTCTTCTTTTTTCCCTTTTTTTCAATGAAAGCGTAAAGGTTAGGCGAGTGTTACCACGCTCGTCCTATTGAACTCGATTCTATTTAAGGGAATATGGCGGGAGTGAGTGTGTCGGTATCTAGTGGAAATCGAAGAAGGCCGACACCAGAGGCCGCGTCGAGGCCGGGACCTTGGCGTTTAGAAAAATTGTAAGTACTTATTTAGGCCCATATAATAACATTCATGAAGATCGATAATATAAATGAACTTCTCGCTAAATTGTCGCCTTCTCAGATGTATTTTTGAACTTTCACGCGTTTCTCTAAATTATTTTAATTCATTTTGTTATAATTATATTCTGGATAATCAATTTTAGTTTTCTTACGGAAGCAGAAATTAATGTAAAATTTTCTTTTTTCAATGATGAATAATGATTGGTTCAAATGAAATATTGGTTCAATTGAAAATTTAAAAAGTATTATTTGATTATATATCGATATTTTATGTAAAATTTAAAGAATTTAAAGAATATATATTTAAATCATGATGATATTAATTTTGACGTTTTCTTTTATATTGTCTTAAAAATTTAAATCTAAAAAAAGTATTCAATATTCTGTATTTTTTAATTTAGAAATTTTTATATTATTTATATAAATATATGTATATTTTTTAGTTGAAAAAATAGAAATAATTTTTTTTATTTGTTCTTGTTATATTACATGAAAAAACGAACAAAGTTGTAAATACAAGTTAAAAACTATAAGTTAAGTAGTTGATTGAAGAATCCAACGTTTCTAGAGTTCATTAATCTCTTCTTTAATTCATCAATTATTCATCATAATCAATTAACTCGATTCGTTTCATCGTTTTGTGAAAGTCTCATCCATTTTTCTCCATCTTTGTATCTTTGTTATTTAATATGCAAATATTATAATTGTGTTAACAATATTTGTGTTACATATTAATTTCAATAGTAACAACTGCTTCAATTACAATTCACATGTCAACTGAAATTCTAATAAGGAGAATTTCGATATAATCTCTTGGGAGTAGAATTCAATAACGCTGTTCCATGTAATTGAAACATATATGTATATCTTCATAATTTACTCTCTCGATAAATACAAAGATAAGCAGGTTCATTTTGAACATATTCAAAAAACATTTAAGTAATTAAATTACGAATTTGTGTTTAATACGATTATTTTTATTAAAAATTAAAATTAGTAATACTCTTTACGCATTTAACTATATCTTAAATTACATTTCTCATCTCAACAGAGCGATTAAGTTATCGGAAATATGTGAACTTCCGTTATAAATATCAAATTAAAAAGGTGAAAATCGATTTTTAATGTCAGAATTTCATAATGGATAGTTGTTTTCCGTACAAGATACAACGAAGGACCATTTATTTTCTTCGAGCATAAGTATGGTTCCAAAGAAATTATAAACTATAACTTCTTGAGAATCGATAAAATTTTATGATCTCGATCAGATATTGTGTAAGATATTGGGAATCATTTTTATGTAAAAACATATCGCCATTTTTTAAACATAATCCAAAGATTCGATATAGTTGATTTTTTCACTTGATTAAAAAAATTTTTTGAAAGAAACCATAATTAATTAAATCAACTCCAATTTTACATTAAAATTTAAACAGTATATTATTTATTATAAAAGTTATTATACATATACATTTAAAA